TTATTTTTTCTCACTTGAGCTTTACTTTTCTTTTTCAAAACACCTAATAATAAACATAAACCCTAAAAATCTTTAATGATACTTGGACTATTTGGTTACTATCCTTGGCATTATGGAGCATTGGACTTTTTGGACTTAGAATTAGGAACCTTGGCCTATGATTGGGGACCTTGTGACCTTATTTGATTATTTTGTCTGGAGCTCTTGAGGTTTACCTCAAGGCATTCGGTTGTTTGTTTGTTTTGTGTGCATGTTATTGTGATTACAATCTTTGTTTGTAATCTGGAATTCACCCGTATACAGCCGTTACTCTGCCCAATTTTTGTGAAGACTTAATACACTTGAAGTTTGGTTCTTTCAAGAGGTCTAGTATCATTGCTTGTTTGGTTTCAATCCAAAGAATGGGAATTCTATCTTGGCTCATAGTGTCAAGTATTGGCTTCTTGTTAGTTAGATGGTTCATATCCCTAGCTCTTACCTTATGCTTTTAGGATAGTCTCTTCTTCTCCTCTCATCTTCTTTAATTTCAAAAATCTTCTCCCTCCTTTTGAAAACTCTTCTTGCTTTTAAACTTGAACCACTTTCGTAATAAACTTAGACTTAGGTCCATGCATTTTCAAAACAATTTCATGAATAAACTTCAATAAACATTAATATTACCTTAACATTTTTTGTGAGAAGACTAAAAATCAATCAATCTCATTACAAACCATTTTGCCACTTTGGCTTTTTACTTTAAAACTTTTCTCAAAAGATTGGACTCTTGTCAATCCTTGTAGTGATGTAGACAACTATACTTCTACAATATATAGTGAAGTGGGATATTTTCCACTTGGGTGTTGAGTGAGGCATTGTTGATTTTAAAATCCAAGCCATATCCTCCACTTTGAGATGATGCAAATTCTCCTTTCTCATGATTATGGGTAGTAAGTATGCTTTCCACACGGACAATGACGATGATGTTTTATCTCATAAAAATTAAACCAACACACTTACATTTTAAAAATTTTAAAAGAGGAACTACGTGTACCCTGATCCCCTAATGCACGGAAGGTGGTATATAGGCACTATGGGTTCGCAACTGTGGCGGGTTCAAAAAACCATAAAAATATATTTCTTTTCTCTCCTCCACCATCCATTTTTTATACAACATTTTTATAGCCAAAATATACAGATTTTACAAAGAGGTTCCTGCGGAGTACCGTAGATGTTTAGGATGCTAATACCTTCCCTTTACATAACCAACCCGCTTACCTTGAATCTTTCCCCCTTTTTTGGGTTATTCGATCTTTTCCAATTCCTTTGGAAATAATAAAGTGCGGTGGAGATTTTATTTTGATTTGTATAAGTCTAGTCAATCCCATGGCTTAGTCTTAAACATTTATACCGCTACACATAGCACCGCCGTTCACTGACGATGAACTACCAACATTCACTGAGGGTAGAAAAAAGATAACAATCACTAACTTTCACTGATGGTGACCTACCAACTTTCACTGAAGGTAGAGAGAAAAATATATCATAGCACCACCGTTCACTAACGATGAACTACTAACATACACTGAGGGTAGCAAAAAGATAACAATCACCAATTTTCACTGATTATGACCTACGAACTTTCAATGAAGGTAGAGAGAGAAAAAATATCATAACATCATCGTTCACTGACGATGAACTATTAACATTCACTGAGGGTAGAAAAAAGATAACAAGTTTCCCCAAAATTCTGGCATTTCACCTAGAACGGGTCTCAACTTCTTCTTTAACCAAAGCATTCTGCCTGGAAAGGGTAATATATAAGCTGTCTCAAATAAAGAGACGACCACTTGTAAATATTTCACAATGAACTGTCTCAGCAATATTGAAAGTCTTGCCATCCACTAGAGTAATTTGGGCAACAGGCTAAAACTATCCACTCATAGAGAAGATAACCCAAAACAGTTACGTTGACTTTTATAGGGAAGTACATGTTGCTCAAATAAAGAGACCTGCCACTTGTTGTTACGGAGGATTGTAAAAACAAAGACTTTCTGGGGAAAGAAATATGACTTCCTGGGGAAAGAAATATGACTTCCTGGGGAAATGCCAATATATTCCTGCTTGAGGAGATAAATGTCTTCTCGTGCAAAATAAATGCACATTCTCAAACCAATGCTCGAAGCTTGCGGAAATCCAAAGTAATAAAATTATCGAGGATCAAAAATTCAAACCAGAAATAAAATGGAATGAGACTGTCGTCCAAAACACTTCCTTTGAGAAATAAACTCAAAAGGGAGACCCGAATCAACCAGTCAAAGAGTTGTACAAGAAGGCTAGAGCAAAAATCTTCCATGAGGGATAACTCAGTGGGGAAATTGAAAGAATATACGCTTTCTGCTTAAGGCCAACACTCTATTGAAGAGAGGACAACATAACATCTGTAAAACATGGTAATATGTCAACAAAATATTAACGAATGTGAATGAGCGATGATTTGCCAATTTTAGTTATGCATGATGTGTGTATGAATGTATGAGTGTTTATCACGCATATGCTGATAAAACAGATATATAACACTCGGAATAAATAGAAAAAACCAACTCGGGCACAATCAACACTCGGCCAAATTAAATCCAAGATGAACAATCCAAGAAAAAGTAATCGCCAACTGAGGAAACAAAACCTACTACCTGGTTTAACTTTATTGGGGAGATACGTATGAAACAACTGGCTAAAAATCATCAAACAATGAAGTCGCCATCTAACGTCTTTTATCCCACATGTAGGGAAAGGTAAACATCGAGAAAACCTGATGAGGGAGAAGTCACGGTCTTGCGACCGAGAGATCGGGTAAGGGAGTCTGTTACGCGAGGGGAAGGTATTAGCACCCCCACACGCTCGTAGTACTCTACGGTATCCACTCTTGTTGTCTATCTTATGGGTGTGTTCAATCTATGCTTACTGTCTACTATACTACTGGTGGGAAAATGCATGCAAAAGAAAGGGGAAAAAGAATGTAGGGAAAATAAAATTGTGCTCGCTTGGGCCCTACCCCAATGCCTACATATCCGTTTTGAGGAATCAGAGCTACCGTAGTTCGGCTCATATTTTTTTGTTTGTTTTGTGTTTTTTATGGACGAAGTTAATTCCGCCTTCTGCCGCAGCTCGACCTTCAGAGACTTATGCGTTGGCACAGAAGTAAATTAATCATGTCCTTTCCTGAAAAGAGTTTAAAAGAAAAGGTGCTCGAGCGCACAAAAGATTTGAGTTGGTTTATATTTTGTTATAGATGTTTTTTGTGGACGAAGTTAATTCCGCCTTCTGCCGCAGCTCGACCTTTGGAGACTTATGCGTTAGCACAGAAGTAAATTAATCGTGTCCTTATCTGAAAAGGGTTTTTAGAAAAGTGCTCGAGTGCACAAAAGATTTGAACTTGTTTTGTATTTTTGTTGCAGATAATGACTAGTCGACCTCAAGAGAGAGATATTAGCCATTTTTCTACTTAGCCATGAAAGGAGTTTTTGAGAATTGAACCACACCTAAGCTTGAGATGAAGAACAATAAGATCGAGAAGAGACCCGCTTATCATTTCTCGTACTAAGCAAAAGCATGATTCTCATCAATAGTTTTAAAGTGTTTTGAATTTTGAAAGAAAAGAAGTTTTAGTTTTAGGTGCGAATGCAAAAGGAGAAAGAAAAGTCAAAAAGGAGACTAGCCTATTTCTAAACCTAATGCTATTATGTATTGTTAGCCCTAAAGTTAGAATGAATGAGGGAATTCTACCTAATGTCAGCACGCATATGGTTTGCGATAAAGTACTGAAATAAAGGATAAAATAGAGTTGTGACGATACCGAACGGAGAAGGTCCGTTGCCTCTTTAAAATTGTGCAAGCGGTAAGGAAATTCTATCAAAGTTCCCTTGGGCAAGTGATTGAAGAATTAACCCCGAGTATTCCACACTGCCAGAGTTATGTCGATGCTATAAAAAGTCTCGACTAGAAAATGGCAATAAAAATGATTATCGAATATGAAAAATAAAATAGAAAAAATCCTAATCGAAATTCTAAAAAGAAATTATATTCTAAAATATTCTATTATTTTGTATCATTTTATTATTGATTAAAAAAAATTAAATTAGAAGAAAAAACTAAAATAAAAATTAGAAGAATCAAGGGGTACAAGCTGAATTCAGGGTGATGCAAGCCAAATCTAGGCGCTATGGCCCAACATGACATGAGTCAAGGAGCATTTTTTTTGCTCCACTTTCAGCTTTATGCTTTCCAAAAATGCTAATGGACTTCAGTGGCACGGCCCAATCGAGTTCAATCCAACAAAAAACATCATCAGCTCATGTTGTAATTAACATCATATCTGCTTTTTAATTTTATTCACCATTTGTATTTATTGAATTAAAAATAAAAATAAAATAGTGTGACAATTAAAACTAAAAAAAGAAAAGATATGAAAATTGAAAAGGGAATTTTAGGGTTAGAAAAAAGGTCTCTTCCTCTCTCGCGACGCGGCTTAGCGGCGGAAATCTCTCCACCTTTTTCAGCTCCTCTAGCTTAGCCCTCTCCTCTGAAACACTTCCAGTAGTAGAGCTCTTCCGTGGCCTACAGGCAACTAGCTCAACTTCAAAAACCAGTGTTGCATCTAGAGGTATATCTGGCGGAGATCCTGCGCTACCATATGCATAATCTGGCTTGCATGTTATTTTTGCAATTTCTCCAACCTTCATGGTTTTGACGGCAATATCCCAAGCCTTGATAACACTACCCTTTCCAAGTTCAAAGGAGAATATAGTGTTGTCTTCATGTGTAGTGTCAAAGACTTCACCGGTATCAGCGAGCGTGCCTTCATAGTGAACATCAACAACGGGAAAATCTTCAGTTGGAGCCACAGCATCTGACTTGCTCTTCCTCACAATGGTTTTGATGACTCCTCCATCCCCAGACAAATCAATTGCGTCTCCCATCGTTTACACACAAGAGTGATGAACCCTTTTTTTTTCAGCTGAAGGATGAAGAAGCTTCTGGAACGAATTGGGGTGATAGAGGGGCGGGGTTGATAAACAGCGAGGGATTTTGGAGAAAAAAGAGTGGCCATAGGCGTTGGGTGAAACTGTTTCTTCCTCTCCTTCACGAACGCGGCGCCGCCGGTCTCTCACCCTCCGATTTCCATCGTCTCAACCTCTTCCGATCCAGTTGCGATTTCTTCCCTCCGATGTCGTCACTTCCTCGCCGCCGTCCGTTACGCGTTGCTCCGTCTCATACTCTCGTCGATTCAGTGCCTCCGTGTGCTTCCGTTCATTCATCTTCTTCGACGAACCGCAACCGTTTCTATTCGTCACTCCAGCATATCCGGAAGAATTGTTCGGTGCTTCAGCGATGCTGATCAGCGATAGAAACCCAAGAAATCTTGCTCCAGGTACGATTGCGATTGGATTCAATTTTCTTCTTTTCTTCGTGTCGCGTTCTTTTTTCATTTTTGGATGTTGCATTATCATGATGTTGTTGAAATTGTTGTTGTATGTTGATGAAAGATGAAGAAGATGCAGAGATACAGTGATGCTTGAAGCGGCTACAATGAAACCGCAGCTTGAGGAATGAAGGTGATAGTAGTGGAGCTTGATAAGGTTTCAATGAAGATGACGATTCAATTGCGTTTTGTAGTCTGAAAGAATCAATGAGGATGATTATGTATTGATGGAGAAGATTGCAGAGAAGATGGAGATTGGAGGTTTTGTTGAAGTGGAGTATGGTTCAGAGGTGGAGGCCGCAGAGGTTTTTGTGAGTTCTTTGTGAAATTTTTTTCTATTATGAATCCCCTTCTCCTTATTCTATCCATCTCATTATGTATATATGCTGGAAGTTTGTTGGAATGTTAAATTAGCTGGTTTGGATCTGTTATGGAGAGTTTTCTCTGAATCGGTTAGGAGGTTATATATTATGTTTGTTATTCAATTACAGGTCATGTTGCTGTAAGTTTTTTGGTTAGAAGTTTGTTATAAAATTGGTTAGGTGGTTAGGAGGTAGTTAGTTATTCTGTTTTTTTATTGTTAGAGATTCTGTTAGTTGGTTATAGAAAAAAGTTACGGGAAGTTGGTTGGGGAATTATGACTTTGGTTAGGAAGCCGAGATGCAGTTAAGAATTTGTTACTAGTTAAGTTAGTTTGGATCTGGTTAGAAAGTCAAGAAAAGTTGTTAGGTTATAGTTATAGAGGTTGGGATTACTGAGATATGGTTTTGGATATTTGTTAGTTATGCTGTAACTATTATGTTTTGCAGTTAGTTGGTGAATTGAGATATGGTTTAGGATAGAAGTTTGTTAGGAAACGTTTTATGAAAAAAAAATATGTTTTTGCCTTTCATTATGTAGGTCCTTTTTGTTAAGCTGGGATTCAATTACAGGGTGGTTTTGAAAATGGTTGGGAGGTTTAGAAATTGTCAAATGGTTGTTGTTATTTTCTGTTGCAAGTTAGTGTACTAGCGGTAGTGTAGGCGGTTCATGCTTATGACAGTTTATCCAATATTTTTGCAGGTTTGGTTCATATCAAGGCTATTGGGAAGCAAAGGCAAAAGGAAAACACCAAGATGATATGAAGTTGGAACAAAGACGCATAACACGAAGTTTTGGAAGCTTGAAGTTTGAAACATGAAGAATGGTTGAGAATTAGGATAGGTTTTGGTAAAAATGTATAGATGTTATGTATAATTGTAATGGAATTTGGACTTGTATGTATTTGAATACACATTGGAATGTATGTTGACTTTATTTCCACATAATGAAATGGCCTTTGTATGAATTCAAATAAATGGTATGAATCCAAAATATTTGCAAGGTATCCAAAAGAGACATAAATCTTGAATGAATCCAAGAGAGGCTATTTGGACAATATTTTGATGGTTGGATGAATTTGATGCATGCTTTTTCATACTTGTGGTTTGAATTCCAAGAAAGGCCACGCAAATACTTAAGAACTTTGATTTTCTCCAAATCCACTTCAATTATTAATGAATGAATTCTAATCAAACTACAGCTTCAGTGAATCCCCAATTCAATTCAATTCCTCAGTATAAACCAAACTTGTGTGTCAAGCAATAAGCATTTGAAATAATGACACCTTGATCACAATCAACATCTTGTACCATGTCCCGACTATATGAGCACTAGAACAACGACGTCTTGGACCCCTTCTCAATAGATGATAATGACTATGCCCTGAGGGATTCTTTGCAGATGAATATGAAAGATGAGACATGCGAATACCTTGATATGGAATGAACCTCAGGTAGAATGCTGACAAGCTCAAATATGAAAATGTATAAACCCTGATTTTTAGCTTCGTCTCATAAAACCTTGCAACTTGACATTGAGAAGAAAAGAATAGCCCCGTAGCTTGATGATGATAAGGTCCATGAAATGAAAACCTAGCTTCAAACAAATTATTAATGGAGAAATCAACCGAAACAAGCTTGTGCGAAGATGGGAGCCTTAAAGCCATACACCAACCCTTATTCCTCGAAATCCATGATCTTATGCCAATTTATCAATTAATGATGCATGATGTGTTAGATGACCTAATGTGAGAAAAATACAAAAATGCGTAAGCCAGATAGGAAGTAAAAGGGTAGGACAAATTTGGGGTATTACAACGTAATTCGGTAGTAAACAAAACATAGTGACCAAACAGTATAGATACAGAGATACAACATCCTCTCCCAGGTCTTTACCAAGGAATAACACTCAAACTTCAAAGGGAAATCAAATATTTTCAAAAGTAACGCTTCTACTGGGGATTTTGAAAAATCGATTTCAAGTAGAGCAGACGGACATCAAATCATCACAACATTCATTGGGGAGTTAAGGCTTGAAAGAGGAAACACACAAACTTTGTTAAGGTGTATAATATCCTATCATCGAGCCATTAAATGGGGATTTCGTGCTGACTTCACTGGGGAGGTTAACACCACATCCTCAAAGGGAAAACCAATGTACGTTCTTCACTAGAGAAACCAGAGACTTGTGTTCTTCAAAAGTGATTATTGTACCAACTTCTCTGGGAAGAAAGAACCTCTATTAAACAAATGAAAACTTTTACTGGAGGAATATGGGATTGAATCTTCATATCATGCAAACTCAGAAGAGAGGAGAAATGAACCAAAACTTGATCGGGGACACTAGAGTCACAAACCCAATACAGCGAGAACATCTTGAGAAAAAACTTCCCCGGAAAACAAAACTTCTCAAAACAACTGGAGTCCGTCCATTCCTTGGATCACCACTTTTGTTTTTCTCTTGCGTCACAAATTTTAAAGTAAAAGCAAATTGTAAATTATTTTTGAAAATCAACTTTTTTATTTAATCTTTTCGCTTTGAAAGTTATTATCAATAATAAATGGAGTCTTTGCAAGATAAATAAAATAAGAAATACAAAGAATTGGGTAAAAGCTCAAATTTCATTAATAGAATTGTAGTATGCGAATGGAGAGACTCCATGGATGATTACAAAGTTCGTAAAATGGTAATATATAATGGAAAAGATACATTGAGATACAATGACCACTATCCCTCTAACAACTTTTGAAATCCCGAGCAGCAGCTTCTGTTCGAAGTATGATGAGGATCCGAGAAGATTGTTGCTTCAATGATCAAGTCTTGTCTGATGTAGTTACTTGCCAAGAAAGTTCCTAACTTTTTCCTAAGCTGCCCTTGTGGGTTTTCAACTTAGCGGGAAATTTATTTTGTTTATGTCTCTATTTTTTTCCTAGACCGCCCTTTCGGGTTTTCGGCCTACTGAGACGCTCTTTTTTGCCTAAGTTGCCCTTTCGGGTTTTCAACTTAGCAAGTTGTTCTTTTATTTCTTTAGGCGAAGTATTTCTTCCTGAGCACGAGGTCTCCTTCTCTGAGTTCACGAGGTTTGCCTTCTTATCAAAAGCTTTCTTCATTCTCTTCTGATATAACTGTCCATGACACAAAGCTGTCATTCTCTTTTCTTCGATCAAATTCAATTGGTCAAACCTGTTTTGGACCCATTCAGCCTCTGACAACTTGGTTTCCATTATCACTCGCAAAGAGAGAATCTCAACCTCGATTGGGAGCACAGCTTCCATTACATACACAAGGGAGAACGAGGTTGCTCCTGTTGAAGTGCGGATAGATGTTCGATATCCATGCAAAGCAAAACGGAGCATTTCATGCAAATCCTTATAAGTAACAACCATTTTCTGGATAATCTTCTTGATATTCTTATTAGCAGCTTCAACAACCTCATTCATCTTTGGCCTGTACAGATATGAGTTGTGATGGATAATCTTGAATTCTTTACACAGTTCTATCATCATCTTGTTGTTCAAATTCGAGCCATTATCAGTGATAATTCTGTTCCGCACACCATACCGACATATAAGATTATTCTTAATGAAGCGCACAACCACCTGCTTAGTAACATTAGCATATGAAGCAGCCTACACCAACTTGGTGAAGTAATCAATTACTACCAAGATAAAACAGTGTCAATTTGAAGCTTTGAGTTCTATCATCCCAATCATGTCAATAACCCACATAGAGAAAGGCCACGGGGTGGAAATCATATTGAGAAGTGTCGGAGGCACATGAACCTTGTCTGCATAAATCTGGCATTTATGACACTTCTTTGCAAATTTGTAACAGTCAGATTCCATTGTCAGCCAATAGTAACCTACCCTTAGCATCTTTTTAGCCATGGAATGTCCATTGGCATGAGTGCCAAATGAACCTTCATGAATCTCATGCATCAACATGCCTGCTTCGTGTCTATCCACGCATCTGAGCAAGACCATGTCATAATTTCTTTTATACAACACATTTTCACTGAGGAAGAAACTGCCAGCCAATCTTCTCAATGTCTTTTTATCTTTCTTCGAAGCACCAATCGGGTATTCCTGAGTCTGGAGAAGATGCTTGATATCATAATACCAAGGTTTCTCATCTACTACTTCTTCTATTGTAAACACATGAGCGGGCATATCCAATCGCCGGACTATAATTTGAGGTATATCATTCCAAGTATTCACTTGATACATAGAAGCCATAGTTGCCAAAGCATGTGCCATCTGATTTTCATCTCTTGGAATATGATGGAATTCAACTTTGTTAAAGAAGAGTAACAATCTTCTAGCATAATCTTTGTAAGGGATCAATCCGAGGTGACGAGTATCCCATTCTCCTTTAATCCGATTTATTACCAAAGCTGAATCACCGTACACATCAAAAATTTTAATTCTGAGATCAATAGCTTCCTCGAGACCCATGATGCAAGCTTCATATTCTTCCATATTATTAGTATAATCAAATTTCAACCTTGCAGTAAAAGTAATGTGCGATCCATATGGAGTGACAATCACAGCACCAATTCCTTTACCATAAGCATTCACAGCTCCATCAAATATCATATTCCAATGATATTCAGGATCAGGACTTTCCTCAGGCAATGGTTCATCACAATCCTTCACTTTCAGAAACATCACATCCTCATCGGGAAATTCATACTTCACAGACTGATGATCCTCAACTGGTTGGTGAGCAAG